CTTAAGATTATTCTTAGAGTTCTTCATCTTGATTATTCTTATTGCTAGTTTTAGATTGATCACCTACAACTTGATATTAGATAATAGGTTACCCACCATAGGTACTTGTTAGTTTAGATACTAGGTGAACTAATCAAACTTGATAATAATGCATGCTTTAGTATAGGATCTCTCGGCTTCTCCGGTCATCTTAGCTGTAAGTATAGAGAGTTTTACGGAACACCACCGGTTACTCTAAAATCATAGTTTGAGTTCGAGAACGATGCGATAAAATTCCTAATATTAGCTAAATCTACAATTTATTAATCTCCCAAGACAATTCCTTAGACCCGACGCTTTAATCACTTGAATCTACAACTCATTTACTTGCTTTATTGTCTTTACATTAATATACTTTGTCTAGCTTAATTAAAATCATCATAACTTTATTGTTTGAACATCAAGAGCTCAGTGGAATTCGACCCTTAAGTGCTAATGACGATCTCTTATTTGAGGGAGTAAGCTTAAGGCAATTTGAGCTATATCAAATTTGGTGTCGTTGCCGAAGTTCTCTTTGCTTCACCATTAGACTAGGTGTCGATTTAAGTCTAGACTTTTCTTTTCTTTCATTACTAATTCAGTTCTTTTTTTCTTTTTTTTTCTTATGTTTCAGGTACCTTCAGATTTTGTTACACGTTTCTATGGTAGAATTTAAAGACAGTGTCGACCGACACCATCTGGGTGTCGATCGACACCCTCTGCAAAACTGACAGGGTACAATAGGTGACCTTAACAGAACTGATCTTTTCTACACCAACCGATCAGCATCAAGCTACCACCATTTGAAAGAGATGACTTTGCTATACACCCTGCCTATTATGATCTTGTGTCAAGAGGAAAGTTTAAAAGAGCTCCCGATGAAGCATCATTAGATCATTTGGAAGTCTTCGAAGACATAGTGTCCTTTATAAAAGCAGAAGGTGTACCAGCTGATTACCTTCTTTGCAAACTCTTCTCCCACTCTCTCGCGGGCAGAGAAACATCATGGTTGCGTCAACTAGAACCAGGCTCACTAACAAATTGGACTGATACAAAGAACGTCTTCATGAATCACTTCTTCGATAAATCCGTGACAGAGGCACTTCGTTTGCAAATCTCTTCGTTCACTCAAGCTCCAACCGAGTTCCTTAGAGCAGCATGGCTCCGCTTCAGATCTTATCAGCGAGAATGCCCCCAACATGGTTTCCAAGAGAGCCAACTCATCAATATATTCTACAAAGGGATAACTAAGCCATACCGGAATCAACTCGATGCAGCAAGCTACTGTAACTTCATGACAAGAACTACTAGTGAAGCATTACTCCTCATCACCAATGCTATAATCATCGATTTCTGCTCCTATCCAAGCCCCTCCACCCTCCTCAGACAGCCGAATGGAATCCATGACTGCGCAGATTCTTGAGGGCCACACAAAGCTCGTGGTTGAGTTTAATGGCAAGTTTCATTCTCTTTACACATATCTTATTGGGAAGATCAACAATATGAGATCTCATATATATATGTGTCTTCTTCTACAACATCATCTGTCAATGAAGTCACATTACACAGTGGAAAGCAACCCAAGACGATCCTTCAGCGAGAACTTTCAGAAAAGACTTCATCTCGTCCAGTTGTAAAAAAAACCTCAGTGTCGATCGATACATCGGGGTGTCGATCGACACCAATTGATCTTGACGACTCTGTTTTGCCTTTGTCGAGTGGAATCGATTATTTCCCAAAGGAGGAGGAACTTCTTCCCGATGGTGTCGAACAACACCCACCTCATGTCAATCGACACCAACACCACACAGACAGGCCAGTGTTGACGTTTGATGATAGTAGATTCTTAAGATCAATTAACCTAAAGCACTATCATGTCGTTGTAGTACTGAAGGTTGTCAATCCAAATGGGTGTGATGCTAAGAATCAAGATGCAATCAGAGTTCACAGAGTCAAGCCAAGCAACAACAGGTTTTGGGGTTTCTAGCAGTCTTAAGTGAACATGTAGGAAGCAGAAATTCAAGCAGAAACAGTTAAAACACTCGACCAACACAGCTTGTTGCCAAGCACTGGTGTGGTCAAGTGACAGGTCGAGTAACAGACAGAAAATGTACTAGGAATACTCGACTACACAGTCTGTTGCCAGACAACTGGGTAGTCGAGTATCAGAGTGATATAGGCGAAAAATGCAAAAACTGAACAATGACCAGCAAGAGCAAGTAAACGATATTAGTGTAGGCAAAGAAATCAAATAGATGAGAAATTCCCGAGGATGGGGTAATTGAGTAGTTAGTTTCCTCAGTCTACAGGTGATTGACAGGCTCAATAAACTATCCCTAGACAACATGTTCAATAACCAAATCTAAGTGCCACCGCAAAAGAGACCTTCAAGTTAAACTACTCCCAGACTCAATCACCATTGGCGAGAGCTAACCTAACAGGCATTACGAATCAACAAGTCAAAGTCAAAACGCTCCCTGTAACCAGTACTTTTGTACAGAGCCACGGATCTCTGGAATTAGTGGTTCAGACATTTCATCAAACACCTTTTGGGTGCAGAAATGTCTGGGCTCAAATTCCAGTTGATCAGAAAGCAATAGGCATTAAGAAAAACTAATCTAGAAGGGATCTATAAATCAAACTCAACCACCTAACATACCGAGAATTCTAAACTACTCTAACCCATCCTTAGAAACCTAGTCACTACTCGGACAACATTGCAGAAAACATAAACGATGACATGAATGAAAACATCATAGCAACAGAGTAATATCAAGATGATAACACGATGAACTACTTAGTAAAATAAACGAAAAGCGAACTACTTCAGAGAAATCCGGATTACAAAACCGAAAACACACAGAAATTGTCTACGGAATAATACGTAGTCTAAAAAATATAAAGTACAAGCTACTTATAGTGAAATGTTCTGAAACCCTAATACTCAAAACGACACAGTATTGGGATGGATTAAGAACGGTACTCAACCTAGGTGGTCGAGTGATTGGTCGAGTGATTAGCTGGAGTCTTCTTCTCTTCCTTATGCTCGAGTGTCTGGTTGAGTACAGGATTGAGAAGAATCTGAAGCTGGCAGTCAAGTAAGTATGTCGAGTGGTGAATGAAGGTAGACTTGACTTGGTGGCGAGTGATGAATCGAGTGAATGATGATGGTGGTAATGATCGAGTGGATAGCGAGAAGTGGAGATGGTGATACTCGATCAAGTACTCGAGTGGTGATGAGAAGTGGTGAAGGCAGCTAATCGACTAGAGGGTCGAGTGGTCTTGTTAAGTGGTGAAGTCATCTACTCGACCAGGGGGTCGAGTGGTATGTTGTAAAGGTTGTGGCTGAGTACTTCAGGAAGTCCAGGATGGCGGTACTCGACCTCGGGGGTCGAGTGGTATGTTGTAAAGGTTGTGGCTGAGTACTTCAGGAAGTCCAGGATGGCGGTACTCGACCTCGGGGTCGAGTATATTGATATGATCAGGTCCACTTCTTCTAATTAGCTCGCCAAAAGCTCCAAATAATCACCTGAAAACAACACTAATATGCAACATGCATGCAAAACTATCCTAAACATGCAAAGTGATGACAAATGAAGAGAAATGGTATAAAACAGTGGTGATATGATGTTAAAGTGATGACAAATGGATGCTCAAAACATGTAAAATGCACACTTATCAACTCCCCCAAACTTAGTCTTTGCTTGCACTCAAGCAAACAATCAAGAACAAGCTGGAGGTGAGGTTTGAAAGCGGGGACTCAGAGCCAAAGCACCAGATAAACAAGATGAAATCAATGTGCAAGTTGATAGTTCTAAGTTGCGACATGATCGAATTCTACTCAAAAATGTTAGCCATGCCTTGTTATCAATCAATCCGACTCTTATGCTCGACCTACACATGTTTTCAAATCTACCAATCCCTTAAACATTCATTAGTTCTGTAACGTGAATCAAGCAATGCATCATCAATGAACCCATTTGGCTAAGGTAAAGGTCAAGAGACAAAGATGGTCCCTTATAGAATAGGTTTCAGTAACAAGGGATCTTTAAATAAATGATTAAGCTTTAGTAGAATGCTAAAGGTAAGTCCCAAACTATGCATACAGAGATAAGATCCCATCTACCCAGAGTATAACCAATGAAGCTCTAATGGTAATCCCATCTCCAATCCCAATATAAGAACCTAACTCTACCATTTGCATTCATGAATCTTTTAAGCCCTTTTTCTAATCATTCTTTTCTTTTCTCTTAACTCTAAGAGAAGCTTTCTCAACACTTTGACACATCTAGCGGATTTGGATTTCTTTAACAACTAAGGTTTCTGTTTTTAAAATTTTAAAACCGAGGGCTTTTGCCCATCTTCAATAGCTAACAAGAACTCTTTCTTTTTTTTACAAATCTCAAAACCTTTACTAGACTTTTTCTGCTTCTTTAGCTTACTTCACCTAGAGTTTTTTTACATTTTCTCATCAATAAATCAACCTTTTTTTTTTTTTTAAACACATCCCAACCCAAAGTATAAGCGCCCACCTAGTCCTATCTAACCCGAAAAATGCGAACTAGAACTACATGAGACACTATCTCTGTCGTTACGAACCTAACACTTTCTACCAAGCTTAATCAGAATAAGACCTCACAAACACTCACAAGTGATATAGGGCTTTAAAGAAAGTCTAGGTTTGGGTTCGGGTTAACTGCTCTAATAAGGAGAGTCAGCTACTTGGATTAATAAGAGTGATCAAAATGAATAAGAAAATCCAAGTATTTTAGGGTATCCATGAGTTCAAATTTGATGCATACATGATAATTAAAGATCAGATTCAGGTTCAAATTGATAGGAAATGGTATTAGATCATGATAGTGTGGTTGAGTAGAGCAATCTAAGAATGGTTCAGTTTTACTTCAATTTCATTGACTACGCAACAGACAACTAGCAACGTCATATCTCCTCGAGGGCATGTCCTGAGGGAGCTGTCCCTGCGGGATAGTTGTAGTGGAAGAGGAGCAACTGAGCTTGTCCTTCAGAAACTTGATAGCCCTGAGGCACTTGGCGAGTAACTTATCATGTTTCTTGCACCACTTCTGCACCTTGCTGTTGTTCCTGTGAGCTTCGCTCAAACTCTTGCTTTCCCTCGCTGGAGGTATATGCTCACTGAAATGATACATGCTCGTGTCAAACTTTTGCCTCATCTATTTCATCTGTCTCATCAACATCTTCTGCTGTAGCTCCTTCTGTGTGACTGATCTCTTCAGTTGGCGGATTGCCCTCGAACTAAAGATCTTCAAGCGCAGGCTTGAAGTCAATGTTCCTTCCCTCAAGAATCCTATTAGCATCAATGCAGGGGAGAAGAATTTTGGCGATTCTAATCGATGAATGCTCGAACCTGTAGCGGTGGAAGTCGCCAACCATGTCATACTCCAAGAACTCACATCGTCGCAAATGATCCAATTCCATCATTCTCGGTGCTAACCCTGGTTCCTTGAGCGGTACTCCTCAAGCTTCCAGAATTAGCGTCACAACGCCACCCACGCATAGTGCTCCTCTCACATTCTTCTTGCCGTTTGTCAACGCCCACTTCCTGTATCCACACAGGTGGATCAACAGAGGCATTACTGGTGGCTCGTCATTGAGATCGCCTCTCAGGACATTCTTTCCCTTTGTACGGTGGAGAATTCCTGTAAGTGCGGAATCTATCATCTCCATGTCCGTGTTAGACACGGTGCCTATAGACTCTCTGGAGTACAAAACATTGGCAATTGAACGCTGAAAGTAGCGAATCACAGGACTCCTGATTTAGTTGCTCTTGGACCGCACAGAGTTTAGCGGTACATTGTTCCCAATAGTAGCCCACAAATCCTTAAGCTCTTCCCTGTCAAACTTGGGTTTGGTTCCCTTTCCACTAGGGAAACCAAACATTTCTTCCAACTTCTTGATCGACAGCTGATAACGTTGTTCATCCACTGAGAACGTCAAGAACCCTAATCCCATGGTATCCAGCTCAAAGTCTGTGAGACTCTGATACATCTCCACTTGCAGTATGGAAAGAAACTCGATCGTCTCCTCCTTATAGGCAGCGTAAGGGTAAGACATGAGTGTCTCCAGATGACACTTCTCGAATAGATGCTACACGTCCTCCAGTAACCCCAGTTGGGCTTAAGTCTCATAGCAGGGATACCTCGTCCCCCAGAAGTCGTTCATCTCAAAGAATCTGATATACTCCTCCATAGTAACCTCGTCGGGTTTGTTCAGTAGCTTCGTCTCCTTGCGCCATGACTCTGGCACATACTCAGTTTTGATGTCCTCATCAATCAACTCATATCTACTCGACATCGTTCTCTTTCTTCTAGCGATTTCAGCTCTTCTCTGGTTACGTCGAGCTGCGGAGCGTTCTAATTCTCCTCTAAAGCTTTCGTAAACATGTTCTTCTCTCTCTGGTCTAGTGGGCCAAGACTAAGCTTCATCTACATTATAATCAGGATCCATAGAGGATTCTCCACTGTAGTTACTCATGATGAAACCTGAAAACAGATGAAACTCAAAGATAAACGTTAATACGTTAGTCCCAACAAAACCAAAAACACAAACTTACAGAGTAAACCGGTCGAGTAATGTAATCGAGTTAACCGGCCGAGTGATTTTGTTGGTTTTGGAAATCGAGTTCTTGTTGCTTGATGGTGGAAGAGGTCGAGTACACTTTGAGCAAACAGTCGAGTGAGCTTGTGAACCGGTGATAGCGAAGAGAGATTCGCGGTGGTCGAGTGAACTCTTTGGTTGAGTGATATGCCGTGACCGAGTAATTCTCCAAACGAACCGAAATAAGCAAGGCTCAAACCTTCAAGTACTCGATCGCGGGGCAAAGGCGAGTAGTGTTGTAGACAGTTCACCGGATTGTTTGGTTAGCTTCTTCTTACACGCGGTCGAGTAAGATGAGAGAGTGAGAGGTGAGTTCGTGTGATTGGTGAAGAAGGAGACGCGGTCGAGTGAACTTGTGAAGTCGAGTGTAGCTGGTTTCGTGGTTGTGGTCGAGTGAAGCAGCGGTCGAGTTTTGGAACTTGAATGGAGGAGAAAACGATTTGATTGGTTGATGGTGAAGATGGTCGAGTGGTTAAGAGCGAGAAGTGGTGAAAGCGTCTTGGTGATAGAGGTCGAGTGAATGAAATGGTGAGGTCGAGTTGTTTCCTTGGAGAGAGGGAGCAGGCGGTGATGATGGAGAGGCAAAGAGAGCTGTGGTCGAGTGAAACTGAGACGAATGAGAGGTGGTGGTGGCGAAGAGTGGTCGATGAGAGAAGTGAGAGTCGAGTGATGTTGGGATGAAGGTGAAAGGGAGAAGTCGAGTGTTTATGATGGAAGGAGAAGGCGGAGAGGTCGAATGATGGGGGGGATAAGGTGGCGATGAGGTCGAGTGGTCTAGAGGGGGTGTGAAGAGATTCCTTGTCTCTTGGTCTCTTGCATGGGAGACATGGGCGTCAGCGGCGGGTCCCACAATGTCTTCTTGTCTTTATTTTGTACTCTCTGTTTAGTGTAAAAACCTTAGAAAATCCCGCAATCTTCTGTAAACTTGATAAACTCCCCGTAAGACTCTATAGCTTCTGTTGGTCGAGTAAAATGATGATTTGAAAATTTTTGGTTTTTAAACATCACTCATACTCGACGAATGTACTCGAGTGCAAGGTCTCCAGGTGCAACAGAAAATTTCAAAAGTTTTGCACTCCGCTACACTATATACTCGATCTCTAGGCCATCTGTAGAGTAAAAGTTTTGAATTTTTATTCTACCTTCACGTTATTCCTCCATTCCTGAGAACCACAAACACAACTAAAACAAATCAAAAATAACAAGAAAATAAAAATTTATTTACAGTGATAGTCATGGGACTTCCTCCCAAGTGAGCTTGTTTAAAGTCTCTAGCTTGACTCCTCACACTTATCAAGAAGAAAATGGATGATAGAGAGGGTCTGCATAGTCCTCTCTTGTATTATCATCATATTCAGCGTCCTCCCTAGAGAGGTCTACAAGAGAATACTCGATTCTCCTCTCTTCAAAATATGCTTCTTTCTCTTCTGGAGGGTAATCTATCTCCTCAGACCATCTTGAAGTGAACTTCTTTCTCGGGATAGTGTCAATCCCGCCTTTAGGTTGAGCTTCCTTCTACAACTGATTCAGCTTACTTCTAAGTTCCTCAACACAGTGGGCTAGCCTCTCTATAGTTTCTTCTTGCTTATTAGACCTCTTTTTAAGCTCTTTTACTTTCTCAGTCTCATATCCTTCTCCTGGGATCACTCTATCATCTCCTGAGGTTTTTTCATCTTCTTTTGACTCTTGTGCAGTTTTGTTGATGTCGAATTGCAACTTGATGTGCTTTCCATGGTTGAGACTTATTTTCCCTTCCCTGACATCTATCACTGCTCCCACTGAGGCTAGGAAGGGTCTTCCCAGGATTAGGGGATCCTTATGCTCTACTTCCATATCCAGCACCACGAAGTCTGTAGGCACTTCCACTCCATTAATCATGACTGGTAGATCTTTCAGCATGCCGAAGGGTTTTCTTGAAGATCTATCCGCAAGGATCAAAGTCAGGTCACAAGGCCTGTACTGAATAAATTCCAACCTTCTTGCCACAGAGAGTGGCATTAAGCTGACAGAGGCTCCGAGATCGCACATGCAATCGATGAAAGCTAATTCCCCAATGGAACATGGTAGAGTAAAAGATCCAGGATCTTCTAACTTTTTTTGAACAATCCTTTTATCAGCAGCTCGAGATGGAGTAGCGTCACTATCATCATCTGAATCGTGATACATCTTGATCTTTTCCAGTATCAGATTTCTCACATCTTTGTGAGGATCAGGAATCAGGTTAAGAACTTCTATTAGTGGCATCACTGCTTCAATCTCGTCTAGCTGTTTCGCTGCAACAGACTTGTATCTCTCCATCCATGCTTTCCTGAATTTCCATGGAAGAGCATGTGAGGGTAATGGAGTAGGTTTGAATCGTTTTACCATTTTCTCGATTATGGCGGCCTTCTCTTCCGAGGTGGATTGAATGAGATGGCGAGAACTAGCAGAATGGTTAAATTCAACAACAGAGACTTCAATCTGAGTAGAAGCCTCCCCCTCTTGAACATCACTGTCCCCAGTGATTAAATCAGGGACATGTCGAGTTGGCAGCTCTCGATCCTGGCAGATAGTGATTGCGTGAGTAGTTGCATACTCCTTTAGATTCTGTATTGATTTCCCAGGAAGTCCTGTAACTTAAGGTGCAGAGGTAGACTTTGGTATTCAATGCCTCTACTTTGGCATTCAGGTCATTGTAGTTGTAACCCATCTTATGGTGCAATTCAGATAACTTCTTAGCAATTTCCATGGAGCTAGATGCGTGTCCCTGTAGCAGCTGTTGTACCATCTGTTTTATTTCAGCATCGGGAGCAGCAGTACCTTGGTTTTGCTGAAGTGCAAACCCATGTGGTGGTTGCGCCTGGTAGTTCCCCTGAAATTGCTGCTTGGGAACAAAACCTTGGTTGTAGGGAATAAAATATTTGTTCTGACCTTGTTGTTGCTGTGGAGGGTACACCTGATCCTGAGGATTAGCAACGTTTGTGCTGCGGTAGGAAAGGTTGGGGTTGTTGGTTTTGAAGTTGTTGTATCCTTTGTAGCCACCCTGGTTATTGTTGATGTAGCTAACTTCTTCTAACTGGTTACCCTCCCCATCTTGGACTTGATACCACTCGTCATCAACAAGGAAGTGCACATGCTTCTACTGGCTAAGAAGAATCCTGTCCAGCTTGTCGTTCAGCGTTTTGATCTCCTTCTTGTGTTTGTCTTCAGAGTCAGCTGTGCTTCTGACCGTCCTATCGCAGTCCTCGTTGTAATTACCATCTGATTGAGCAAGGTTCTCAACCAATTCCCAGCCTTCTTCAACATCTTATTCCCATTGCTGGCGGTATCCAGAAGCATTCTGATGCGTGGTAAAACGCCTCTGTATAGAGTGTTGAGCAGAGAGGCTTTCTTGAAGCCATGATGAGGGCATTGGTTGGTGTAACCTTTGAAACGCTCTCATGGTTCACAGAAGCTTTCACCAGTCTTCTGTGAAAAGCCAGAGATCTCATTTATGAGTCTTGTAGTTCTGGCTTTGGAGAAGAACTTTGCTAGAAAAGCCTTCTTGCAATCATCCCAGGTGGTGATTGAGTCATGGGGCAGATTCTTT